GGGAGTTCCACCACCGATAAATGACACCTCTGTGCGGAGTGAACCCGACCGGCCAGAATAAACTTTGTATTTCACATGTTGTGACACGTCTACAAAGTGTTACCAGCACTTCCTGTTGCCATCGCTGAGGTCGCCGAGTGTGAAGAGAGAACGGCAGAAAGGGAAGCGAATATTCTCATTTACTGGACGTCCAATGTCCCTCTGGGATGGCTCATTTCCCTTCTCATCAGCAACCTGAGGTCTGTGTCCATGGGAGACAGCGCAGTCAGCATACTGACTGAACAGCTGTGCGGGGGATATTGTCCTGGACAGTGACGTGCGTAATGCTGGTTTCCAGCAGAACAAAATATATATGACACCAACAAATGTAAATCCTAACTGCATGGCGTTTCATTTGATCATCGCGCCGCGCACCTCAAATACAATTGCCATTTGGTTTGTTTTTAAGCCTTTGTTCCAGCTCCGTGCTGCTAGTCTCCTGCAGCATCTTTGCCGCCACTTCCTGTCTCCCCCAGCAATGGCTGCATGACATTTCTCAGGGCGGGTGTCCTGATGGTGATAACGGTGGACCGTGTCTGTGTAATGTGTGTTGAAATGGCCTCTTGTAGTCTCATTTTTGGAGGTGACAGCGCTAAAAGCACAATTGGGAGACAGGAACAGAGTGTTGTCACCCTACAACAGGAAGTGTCTGAACAAGGACAGACTTGTCACCCTACAACAGGAAGTACCTGAACATGGACAGAGTAGTGTCACCCTATAACAGGAAGTTCCTGAACATGGATAGAGTGTTTTCAACCTATAACAGGAAGTGTCTGAACATGGATGGAGCATTGTCACCCTATAACAGGAAGTGTCTGAACATGGATGGAGCATTGTCACCCTATAGCAGGAAGTTCCTGAACATGGATGGAGCATTGTCACCCAATAACAGGAAGTGCCTAAACAAGGACAGAGTTTTTTCACCCTATAACAGGAAGCGCCTGAACATGGACAGAGGACTATCACCCTATAACAGGAAGTGCCCGAACAAGGACAAAGCATTATCACCTTATAACAGGAAGTGCCCGAACAAGGACAGAGCATTGTCACCCCATAACAGGAAGTGCCTGAACAAGGACAGAGCATTGTCACCCAATAACAGGAAGTGCCTGAACAAGGACAGAGTGTTTTCACCTTATAACAGGAAGTACCTGAACAAGGACAGAACATTGTCACCCTATAACAGGAAGTGCCTGAACGCGGACAGAGCATTGTCACCCTATAACAGGAAGTACCTGAACATGGACAGAGCACTATCACCCTATAATAGGAAGTGCCTGAACGAGGACAGAGCATTGTCACCCTATAACAGGAAGTGCCTGAACAAGCACAGAGCGTTGTCAACCCATACCAGGAAGTGACCCATATCTAAATGATGCATTTTGGGGGCGGAGCAGCCCTCTACCCATTACTACCCACATCAATCTACATCACCTACCTGCTGGGCAGCGGTGGGGTGGGTTTCGGAGGTCGCACCGGAAGTGGCGGGGGGGTCTTACTCTTCGATTCTGGCAACTTGTGGCGTTTAAGCGGCAGGGGTGGAGCCGCCACTTTCGGAGGCTCCTCCTCCTCTTCATCGATCTCCTTATACCCAAAAGCATCCGGAGTGAACGGAGAAGGACAGAAGGTGGCCACGGTGGGGCTGGAGAGATCCTCCTCAGAGGGATGAGATTCCGGCACGCTGATCGGAGAGACAGATTTGGGTGGAGTGGTGGAGAATCTTAGCGGCGGAACACGCGTCACCCTTGGCGGGATGGGGGGCGGTGCGCGGACGCTCCTCTCACTCTCCTGAGGCTCTGGAGGAGCAGCTGGCTCTACGTGGAGTCCCGGACACTCAGGCTGGGGGGAGGTCATGCAGAAGACGTTCCGCTTCTTAGGGACCGGCCTGCTACCGTCATTTTCCGACAGCGGCTCCTGGGGGACGGACTTGTGGATGGACGCCAGGATGCGCTTGCGGTGTCCCGGGAGCTGGACGCCGATGTGCAGCAGGAAGTCATCGGTCAGGTGACGCAAGTCCGACACCGTGCGCAGGTCATGTTCCTCAAAGAGCTCGCTGTACTGATCCAATTTGATGGTCTGGAGCCATTCGGACACCGGGAGGGAGGAGCCGTCAGACATCGTGAACGACCTTCACTTCATCACTGCTCCTTCGCCAACACCTGGAACAAGAGGCAGAATTAGAGGGAGGTTGCAGCCACAAAGATAACGAGTAATAATGATGTAATATAAGAATAATAATACAATGACATTAAATTCCATGACAGCTCTCGGTCCCCTAATGGAATGTAAACAAAGGGGCGGAACAAGTCCTGTGATGTCATGACTCTCTCCGCCCCTTTGCCCCTTTGTTTACAGGAAGGAGCAGAGCTGTGAGTTTGTTGGGATCGGTCATGTTGGCAGGCGGCGGGGGGCGTTTTTCTCTCGACGAGCCGGCGGGCATCGTCCCTCGTGATTGATCTGCATCTAACTCGATGACAAATTGATTTGAATTCTAAAAACGGCAACTTTGTATCAATCGAAATGTCAAATATCAAACAGAATCCAAATTTCAGAGAATGAAACAAAAAATCCAAAATAGAAGCGGAAAAAAAAAACTTAAGCCACGCCCATCAAGTCGGGGGGAGGGGGGACAAGGGAAGGTGGAATATAAGATCGGACTTCAACTTTAACAGGAAGTGACCCCAATACACGTGTTCAGGGGGGTCGCCCAGATTTCCCCAATTTGGAGCTCGTTAAATACAATGTAGCGGAAAGTAGAAGAAACGTCTTTTTATCTCCTGTTGAGGCGCGGTCGGCTCCCGGAATTACGCCGATATCCTCCGTCAGGCGAAGGTCACACGTTCAGGAGAAGGTAGATAGCGAAGTCTGCACGGAACATTCAGAACGTGGAAGGAGCTGTGATTGGATACGAAGGAAGTGAGACGTTACACATTGACAGTCTGGACAGGCGGAATCAGAGAGTCAGGCCGGATAATGACTGAAAGTCCGAGGGATCATCACTGAAAATCGATGTTTTTGTTTTCCGCATCGTGAGATCACATTTTGCTGGAGACCAACTCAGAATGAACAAGCTGCATGTCACGTGATCCTACAGTTGCTGCCCGCTCCTCTCTATGGACGGCTATAGAGGGGGTGAAAACCAGAGGTGGCGGATTGCTGGGGATCGTTACCTTCCATGCGCTCGTGTTTTTACAAACAAATGCCATTGGAAAACCTAAAAAAAAAAAATGTCTCGAAATACGACCGACTATAGAGAAGTCACAAGGATCAGAGTGTCAGCTCAATGGGCCCCAGGACAGTCCATCACTAGGGTGCTCTGGAGGGCCCGGTCCATTGATAGGATGGGGGGTTTTACAGGTTTATCAGAAGGACAATATGTAACAATGGGGCAGATTGGATACATTGTATCGTCATCGGATAACATCAGTCTCTGTACAGAGGAGCTTACACTCTAATGTCCCCTCCCCCACAGTCACACAGACACTGGGTTGAGGATATAAACTCCATGCAGATCTGATGGTGAATGGTGCAATGCTCTCTCTATGTAAGCAGAACATTAAAGCCCAGAACCCCGGTGCTGCGAGGAAAGTTCGCTCACTCTTATCCTGCGCGCTGTCCTGGGCCGCCTCGTAGAACGCACGGATATGGGAAATGATACGACTTCTGTGTGTCTGTAAATTATTAAATATAACAAAACTCAAAGATCAGCCTCATTATCAGATATGAGGGAGATAAAAATAACTTGACAGCGCAGAGCAAACTGTGAGCGAGCACAAGAGCATGCTAGTGTGACAACACTCTCCTGTGTAATGTGGTGAAATGCACGACCTGTTTCACCACAGAAAGGGGGGGGGGGGGGGGGGA